TGTAGTCAATCAAAGACCCACCATGCCGAAACCAACCCGCAAGCAGGCCCACAAGCGAGGACCCACCCTTGCCACGCCGTGAGTCGGCCACGAAAGCATCACAAAGAACCAACCAGCGCCGAGCAACAAAACCAGGGATGAACCAACCAACCGACCAGTGGCACCCGCTCAGCAGGGCGACAAAAAACTACCCCCTATGCCATCATCAGCCCGGGTTCCGACAAACAAGCATCCACACCGCCGGGCACCAAAAATGTTTGAACATCCCGGCCGGCAAATGCTTGGACAAACCAAAGTTGGAAACAAGATGTGCACCTCTCATGGCATGGGTTGTTCTGAAGCAATATGCATGCATCTTGACCGTGACCTGCCCCACCAACCAAAGGAAAACCAAGCTGGCCATGATTGCTCCCGCTCTTCACATCAGAAGGGAATATATCAAGCAAACAAACAAACAAACAAACAAACAAGCAAGCAAGCAAGCAAGCAAGCAAGCAAGCAAGCAAGCAAGCAAGCAAGCAAGCAAGCAAGCAAGCAAGCAAGCAAAGCAAGCAAAGCAAGCAAAGCAAGCAAGCAAGCAAGCAAAGAAAGCAAAGCAAAGCAAAGCAAAGCAAAGCAAAGCAAAGCAAAGCAAAGCAAAGCAAGCAAAGCAAGCAAAGCAAGCAAAGCAAAGCAAAGCAAGCAAAGCAAGCAAAGCAAGCAAGCAAGCAAGCAAAGCAAGCAAGCAAGCAAGCAAGCAAGCAAAGCAAGCAAGCAAGCAAGCAAGTTGAGCCAGATCGCAAGTGCAGTATTTGGCCTAGTTTTCGGGCTTCCCCCAGGGAAAATCAGAGTCAAGCTGGCCGGAACAAACACCCGCCGAATATTGAAGCAGTAGACTCACTGTGGAAAGCTTGATCATGACCAAACTGTCATTCCCGGTTTGCCTCCCTTTGCAGAAGCATTCCAAGATGGCACCGCCTTCACGCGCGACTCCCCAAAACTTGAGAGCCAGGCATGATAGCGTACAGGGCAGCAAGGCCCAGGATGCCCTGCCCGAAAGCGATGGGCAAGCCCAAAGGAGAAGCCTCAAAGGCAGCCTCGGCACGGAGAAATTGGATGGTGAGCTCTTGTGTTTTTGACCACCCCTTTGCACATTCGGACAGGCCTACAAATACGAGACTTTGCCTGAGCCCTGAAGAATGCAGGACACTGAAAATACATCGAGTCGGTGTACCCCGCAACCGGACAGCAACCCTGCGCACAAAAGTCAAGGCAAGTTCCTTGAAACACAGAGGTTGGCAGTGTGCCCCATGGCTAACTTTTCTGCCTAAGGGGACTCCCGCCCCACAAGCGGCAAGAGTTCCACCGCTGGCACCAAGGTGGCAATCGTGGTTGGGGCAATGCAGTTAAAGCTTAACATTACACTAGGTGGTCAACGCTCTGCCCAGTGACCTGGTTGAGGTCGCCCAGCGCTGGCCGGCTCAGGTTCCGCGCTCGTGGCTGCCTGCTGTCAGGAGCCAACAATGGGCATTGCAAGTGTTGCACTCTTCAACTCAAAGCTCCCACACACACACACACACACACGCTATATTTGCTTGACACAGTCACGATCAGCTTCTAAACGCTCACTAAATTCCGCAGGCCCCACGTGGCCCACAGGCCCTGAATGTCCCAGCTCGATGCAGTGCGCTGGAGTTTGGCAAGGGCCTCGCCTTTTGCGTCCTTGTCCGCGCTGGCTAGCAAGCGAGGCGCAACTTCGTTATGGCTACTCTCGATGGCAAATTTGTCGTGCTTGGCCTTGTTAGCACCAGCATTACTTCCAACTGGCCATTCTTGGCAGCCAAATGCATAGGCGTCATTCCTACGGTCCTTGTCAGCACCAGCTTGCAGCAAGCAGCGCAAAACTCTTGGAATGACCATTCATCGGCGTAATGCATAGGCGTATCTCCGTCAATAGCTGCCCGGTCCTTGTCAGCGCCAGCTTCAGGCAAGCAAAGCGCCACATCATGCATGCATGATGTGGGCCATTCCCTGCTGCCAAACGCATGGGCGTCCTTCCGTCGGTGTTAGGCTTGTTCTTGTCAGCGCAGCCTTTTGCCCATGCTTGCAGCAGTGTGCAGGGCGTCCTTCCCTCATGGTCGGCCTTGTTCTTGTCAGCGCCCGCTCGCAGCAAGCAATGCACAACACCCTCGTTGCCATTCATGGCAGCCAACTGCATGGGGGTCCGTCCGTCCCTGTCGCCGTTGTCCTTGTTAGCACCAGCTTCCAGCAGGCATTCCACAACTGCTTTATGGCCGTACAAGGTGCGGTTTCGCTCACAAACGTCTGGGTCAAGGGGCTGCACCAACTCTCTGGGGCCGGTTTCGTCTGTCAAAAATGGCCGAACCACCACCACCAGCGCCGCATCAAGCCAGGGGCTCTCTGCTCCCAGCATGTTATCACCCAGAACTAACGCAAGCTGCCTGAAACTTCGCACACGCAGTCGCCGGGCCAAAGCTCATCAACAAACATGCCGCTTTGCACACGGTGCTCTTCCCACCACGCGGCAAACTCAGCCTCCGCCATGAGGTCCTCACCAGTGACGATGCAAACGCGCCCCATCAGAGCGAGGCAAAGCGCAGCTGGGAGCAAAGCTTCAACAAAAATGATCGCCAAAGGACCATCCTTGCAGCACGCGAAACCCTGGACCAAAGCTCGCTTCCCAAAGGCAAACGCCCCCCTCCCCCCCGCGATTTACACAACACTTCCAAAGGAAGCAACTATCCAAGCACCCGCTGACTGCAATACAGTAGAATTGCTCGGCTGAACTCAAGGAACGCGCATGCCAAGGAGACGGCATGTAGAGCCAAGCCATGCCGCAGGCAAGTGACAAATATCGACAAAGCATGGAACAAGACCCGCGTCTTCAAACATTCCAAGCCTACACTTGGGACAACTTCTAGCATTCCTTGAGCGGTGCGTCAGTACATCGCCGAAGCAAAGCGTTGGACAACAGTCCATGCATGGATGCCCGAGCAATCAAGTTAAGCTTCAGCTCCAAGTTTGGTGCCTTTGACCCTTACCGCCCTCAAGAGTTCAGCTCATCCTGAGACAAGTCCCGGACCGCTGGGCTAGGGGTGTCACACAACTGCGCTACCAGGATATCCCCCACTCGATCCCGGAAGATCCCGGAAGAGCGCATCAAAACTTTGAACTATGCGCGGAAAACATGGATCGGGCACTGCCCGAGAACTTGCCCTGCGAGCATGGAGATGTCTGTCCCACTTGCGCCAAAGCACTAGCACACCCTATTGGAACATTTGAGCTCATGGTCACACCTCCCACGCCAAGACCTGAGCTTGGGTCTGCTTGCGAGGGGGTTTGATTCAGGAACTCTGTCTTGTTTTGGGGCTTCATGGGACGTATTGCCAGTTGCTTCCCATTCTTCACCCGAACCTTAAGTGACAGTAACCATGGGCCCTCCCAATGGCCGCCTCTACCACGGGAGCTCCAGGGATCAGCAGAATGCAACAAGTTTCGTGCCTGGAAGAACCCCGCCCCCACCACTTTACACCCTGGCCGCTTGGCTGGGAGGCTTTTCTGCCCGGTTGAGGGAAAGTGCCACGCCTCGCCAGGCCCGGCGCAACAAAGGCCGAGCCGAGGCAACCCGCCGCGGCCACCTGGGAAGCGCCCAGTCCGGCTTCGCATCGTCGCGTTTGCTTAGGTGAAACAAGGCCCGCCCGAACAGCAAGAAATGAAAAACTGAGTCACAATCAAAACCTGTTACAAAAATGGTGAACCCAGAACCATTTAAAGAATTAGAAAGGCGGCCGCAACTACCCAGGTTTGATTGTGGCTCAACTGAACTTTAACCAGGCACCGGTCTGAATGGGGGAAGCCGAAGCCTAGTCTGTCAGGTATTCCGCGCCCAATACACAAGAAACCTCAAGCATGCCAGCGGCCTACCTGGCAACATCAATTCTGCAATTCAGTCAGCAAATCTGCGCAGGCGACCCGGCTTCGAATCAAGATGCGGGTGGCTCTCCCCGCAAGTGTTTGGCAAAAATCTGCACACCATTGAATGAACAACGATCAAGATAATGCCTGAAAACGTACTGTGAGTGATTGGGGAGGTGGAGTGGAGTCTGACAGGAGGGAGTCTGACAGGACGGGAGTCAAAGCATACTCAGCCAGGGCCAATCCGGTCCTCAAACCCCAATAGCCCAGCTTGGTGGCGAAATAAGTCAACAGCTGGCTGCCCGCCGCCAAAGAGGAGCCAGCCCTCTGCTTCGAGCAATCGTGGGTAACTGCGACAAATTGGGGGGGGGGGCGGCGGTGGCCTACACGAATTTAGCCAACCTGGCCAGAACCTTCCTCAAGTGGGGGGGGTGGGTGGAATTTTGACCTGTCTTCAGGGCCCCCGGGCCACCAGCAAAGAGCAGCTCCTGCCAATGGCCACGGCTTCGACCCCGAACAGGGCCTGTTCGCTGGGTCCGGGGTTCAGGTAGCAACCATGGGAAGAAAGTGGCAAAAGCGACCGGGGCCTGGCACATGAACATGGAAATGTGTGTTTTCCCACCGTTTCTTTCCCACACAGCAAGCAAGCCCATAGCTCCGGAGCAGCCCTCCACATAAATCCCATGGAAAACGAAAGCACGCAGGCAGGTCGTTTCCCCACTTCTCCTTCGTGCCCGGGCCATGGTCGGGATGTGCAACGCGAGGATTGAAGAATCGGAGCCCAAATGCTACGCGGTCCGCGCGGGAGCCTTCGTTACTAAAGTGGCACACTCAGCAGCACCCTAAGCGGGCGGTTGGGTGCTACCAGTGTGGCAAATGTAGCTCAGCGCATCTCAATGCCCAAAGTTCAAAGTTAGCCAATGCCAGGATTGCACAATCCTAACAACTGATAAAATGGGAAAATAGGGTGGGCTCCGGTTCCCTACATGTGACCTTCGGGTATGGCATCTGCAACTAAAGGGACCAGGGACGAACCTGTCCAGTGGCCATTGAGAGGGAAGACCGGGGTACGCCGAGACCGCAGCGCCCAGGAAGAAGCAGGTGCCAATCTGGCCCTGGATAATGTCCGCTGGCCTGTGGAAAGAGAAAAGCCATGCAGCGGCTGCAACGCACAAAACAAACATTCTCGCAAACGGCTTCCGAGCGGAGGCTTCAACTCGAGTTGGCCTTTCGCGCCTTTCGGCCGGGCGGAGCCCCAAATCACCCAGCAAACCCGAACCACCAACTCCGGGCAAACCAATGGCATGGAATTCCGCCTTTACGGTTCCATCGAACAACCCTGCCGCAACTTGGCAAAACATCGTGCTTGCCTGACACCGCCCTTGAAGAGAACCGGCTCAGCAATGATCTCTGTGATGCGCTTGTATCCCGCGGGCTTGGCCTTGCTGCGTTGGAATGCACATGCCATTGGCGATTCACATTTGGCATTTTTCATGTTGACGCCCTTTTGAGCAAAACAACATTGTGTTTGCACATCAGTCTCAGGCAACGAGTACTGGTCAAGGATTATAAGCCCCCGTTCCAGTCCGGGCAGCACAACAGGCCAAAACTACTCCAAGTATGTGGGGACAACCTCTCCCCCATGAGCGCTCCAAATTAGTATGGCCACCCTGTGGACCTTTTTGTGCAGTAGGTCAGTTGGGTTGCCCAACATCTAGAACAGCAAAAGAAGCACTGCAGCATTGCCCAATTTGGGTTCAAGCGGTGCTCGATTTGCTACTGCATCATGCGCGGAGTGGCTTCATTGCCGCTCAGTCACGTATTCTTGCCAAAGAAAAACGCCTGACCGATTGCTTCAGCCCACATTTGCTGGGAAAGTGTCTGTTTGCAACCAGAAAGGGCCCACACAGCCCCGCGAACCACAACATGGTCAGTCGTACCGCGCCAATCTTTTCCCCATGGCGCGGCGTCGAAGGGCCACGCCACAGTCCCCATGCGCACCGCGCCCCGGGTGGTCCCCAAACCGGCACTTTGACCTTGGTGAAACATGAGGGGCATCCGCTTCGTGTAAGCTGGTTGGCTCACGCTAGCACGCCATGACCTGTTCCGGCACCCGCTCATATCGCCGACTTGGGACAGAAGCTGCGAGTTCAAAGAGTTTGCCTTTGGGCATTTGTTGGGGTGCTGGGGTCCGCTTGCAGTCTTGCCCCCCTCCACGTCTGGCAGCAGAAATATGCCGTTGGTTGGGCCTGGTCCTGGCAATCAAACGGAACACCAGGAGTTCAATGGCCTTGAACTCGGCATGATGCTATTTGGATTAACGTCTCAGCTGCAGCGTAAGTACACACACACCGCATATATACCAACTTGCTATTGCCCTTAGTATATGTTTCGGTGCACACCAGGCCCAGCACCTGGCTAGGTTCTCGCCCTCAGGCCATGTCCGTCCCTCGTCTTCTGGAAGCAGCCGCTCCTGTGCATTCCCACATGTGGTTTTGAAGAAGACCTGTTTACATCTTGTTTCTAGTGGCGCGTGTCCGGATTCATAATGTCTTCGCGCGTGTAGATGGTTGCACCATCTTTGAAAAATATGTCAAAGTAAGGCTGGCTTTCTGCGCTGCCCTTTGAAGCCAAGCAGGAAGTGCTCGTTAGTCGCGACTCATTCCCATTTGGCCTATGAAGAAGGCCAGTATGGGTGCTTTGTTGGATCCTCAACTCATGCTGGGGGCGCAATTGTTTCTTTTTGGATAATTACAAGCACCGGCCCCCACCGCGCAACACTCGTCTCAAATGAGCCTGCCAAGGAGTTCATAAAACCAAAGGCCCCCCGTGCCAGACAATGCTCATGCCAAGAAACCGCTGGAGAGCGCTCGTGCCCCACCGCCCAAAAAGCCCCCAAAGGCATGTCCAGTGGCATGTCCCATCCTGCCCAGCAGTAGCCGCAGCTCCGGGGGCATGAAGCCCCGCGAGGCTGCCACCTGTGCCGCGGTTTGCCCGAAGGCATCCCGCAGATTCAGCAGCGAGGGCTTTTGCTGCAGGAGGAGGTGGCACAGCTCCAGCACCTTGCCACCTCAAATAGAAGGAGAGGACATCCAACAAAGGCTATACCTGGATTTAGGGAAGAGCACTCGGACTTCCGATGCCTTCTGATCGCAACTTGGATGTCGGAATGGGGCGTGTTGACTCCATGTTCTCAGATTTCCTAGGGCAGTCTGTCAATGATCGAAGGATAACAATGGACTAGATGCCTGCCGTGGAGTGGGTAGACGCAGCAACAGCGCACACTAACAAGCCCACCGGTGAAATTATGGTAAAATGACGAAGCTGAGCAACATGAACAAAGAAAAAGGATGCTTGCCAAAGCGCACAACTCAATCCCTGCAAGAGGGTGCCGCACGAAAGCTCGGGTCTTGTGTCTGGCCTGCTCTCCATAGCTTGCTGACGCTACCAGAAGAACAAAGGCCAAAAAGGCATCATTGCCCCACAAGTGGGGCAACATCGGCTTGAAAAGAGTCACTTTTTGCTTGTTGAAATGGACAATGAGGAAAAACAAAAAACAAAAAGAAGGCAAAAGTAAGAAGGGCTGGCAATTTCTTAAAGCAACAAAACACAGTCCCAAAAAAAAGTTGGCACATAAAGGGTTCCTCACCCTAGTGAATAGGATTACACTTAGTGGCTTAGTGGGGCGTGATGTTGGTCCCTCTGCCCAATTGACATGAGAAGCAACTGGAAAGCAATCGAAGCAAACTACTGTTGGAAATCTAAGCAGGATCTATCGGACAGCACATCCATCCAAAGGTACCACGCCCACTTGGACCCTCCAGGGCCCTTACCTCCACGCCCCCCATCCGATCCTCGCCCGGAGCAGGCGTAGTGGAGGGCGGTGCGGCCCTTGCTGCAGGTGAGCAGAACGTCCGCCCCATACTTCAGCAGCACTGCCGCTGCATAGAAATGCCCCCGCCGGCAGGCCAGGTGCAGGGGAGACCTCGCATTTGGGATTGGACAACTTCGGTTTCTAATTGAAAAATGCTGCCGCGAAATGCAAAGCCGGCAAAAAACATGTCAATGCCAAAATGACCCCCGCGCTCGCGCCAAGAAAAAACACAAAACACACGGAGAGACACACAGAGACACAGAGACACAAAGACACGGACACAGAGACACAGAGACACAGAGACACACACACACACACACACACGCACACCCCCACAGCCACAGCCACACCCACCCACCCACCCACCCACCCACCCACCCACACACACACACACACACACACACACACACACACACACACGCCCTTTCCCAAGCCCATGTTCAGCCAGCGTGCACCAGGCCCCGGCCCGCGCGCCAGTTTGGCCCTGCAGGCAACCGCTCCGGGCCGAAGCGGTTCCGCGACAGCTCGTCGTTGCCGCGCTGTAGAAGGAGCTCGAGGATCTCGGCGCGGCCCAGGAAGGCGGCTTCATGCAGGGCTGTGAGCTGGTTGATGTTGGCAGTGAGGACCTCGCGGGCAGAAGTTTCTTTCTTCTTTTTTTTTGGGGGGGGTTCTGACTGTGAATAGTGGCGGATTGCAGTGGAATGACCAAAGGTTGAAATACGCACAAACGGCAGGGATCTGTGGCTGACACGCGGCTGGCCCAATGTGCATTCAAATTCCGAGATGCATAGTGATGCCCAATGTGCTACACCTGCCCCATGCGTGCTGGATGGTAGAATTCCATTGCTGGTTCATTGAGTTGCATTGTTATAAGGAGACCGGGGCGAATTGGGACGAATAATGATGAATGTAGCTAGTCAAGCCATGCCGCGCCATTTTCTTTTCGCAAGTTACATGTCGATTGCATCCTGCCCTTGAGAAGTTGTTAGAAAAACATTGCCTGGGACAGGAGTCCAAAAAGGAGAGCCATTCGTGGACCTCAACATGGGGCCGAACGAGCTTGGAAGTCCACCTTAGGAAGCTGCCATTCCGTTCCCCTCAGGCCCGCCTGATCGACGCTGAGCAAGAGGCGGCAAACCTCCAGGTGGTTCCCCGCGATGGCCCACCACAGGGGCGTTTGCAACCGCAGGTCACGGGCGGAGGTGCGAGCCTTCGCGCCCAAGAGGCTCTTGCAAAGTTGAAGTGACCCAGAGCCTGCGGTCGGGTCATCCGGAAAGCGGGCCAATGGGCCAGTCGGCACATGGCTACAAACCCCAATGACGAGCTTGCAAGCCACAAGAAGGTACGGGAGGGTTTGAGCAAAAGTGGGACAGTTGTTGAGTCAGCCTTCTCAAGATTAATGCTGCAGCCCGTTTGCCCTGTTTGTTGGCAATCGCCTGCTGCGAAGTGCAGGCACGAGCCCCCGCTGGTGTCATCTCTGACGTCCACATCTGCGCCCTCGTGGATTAACTCGCGGACTACCTGCACTGCAGGGGGGGCAACTCTTGCCCTTTATGCCGTGCCCATTTTGACAAACCCTTCCAAACATCTCGGCACCAAAGCCGCACATGTGAATCATAAAACCCCCTAATCCTGAACTTCATGATGAAGGTAGCACGGTGACCCCCCACCTCCACATGGTGGCTAAACTCAATGTCACCCTGGAAGCTGCGGCTGAGCGAGGCGTAGTAGGCATCCATGCACACATCCAAGACGGGGTACACAGAGCTGGCGAGTCTGCTCCGTACAGGCTCGCCCTGGTTGGGCAGCCTTATGTTGCGGTCATACCCGCTCAGCGGCCCAAAGGGGTCGTAGCTGGGCCGCGCCAGCGGAGCGAAGACTGGCATTGGGGCAGGCCTCCCGGGGCAACCTCGCAAGTGCTCTCTCGGAGCCAAATGCATCGGAGAATATGCTCAATTTCATCCACAAATTGAGAAAACACCCAAATGTGGCCATAGGTCCACTGCTGCCAGGTGTTCTTGTCATTGGCATTTGGGTGTTGGGAAGCCATACCGGCCTTCATATCGGCATCAAAAAGGGACAGCTGACCGTCCTTCCATACCCAGCCCCGCGGAAACTGTCGCAGATCGTCACGCTTTTCGGGATGGCGATGGTGGGAAAGACTATGGGGGCTTCGCCCGGATCTGTGGGCGGCCCAGATGGCGGTTTGAGGTCAGGCTTGGGCGGCGAGCGCCCACCCCAACCTGGCAAGCCCCCATCCCTGGACAGCCCAAAGGGTGCAATCGATTTGGTTGGCACCCAAAGGGTGCAATCGATTTGGTTTGGCGCTGGGCCATTAAAAGAGAAAAACACCTGCGCACATGCAATGGGAATTGCGCCAGTCACCAGTTGGGCGACTGCAGTGACCGGGACCTATCCACACGGCCAGTTTCACCAAGGCTTTCTTCACACACACCCACACGCCTCCGTCCAAAACTTATTTCTAGATTCCTACATGCCTTGTGCAAACCAAACACGGTGACACCCTCATACATCCGTGTGTGTGTGTGTGGGTGTTGTGCCGTGCT